AAGGTTTGAACAGATATTTTGCAAAAGAACATAGCCTATTAAGGACATGAAAAGACAGTGTAGTTACCCATCTGGGAAATACTAATTAAAACCACAGAGGCAGTACTTTATATTCCCTCTCATGGCTGAACAGACTGAATATAAGAAAAGATGTGAGCATCTGTAACTTCATGCTTTGCAGGTGGAAGTTTACAGTGCTGTACCCACTGTGGAAAGCGTTTTTGCAGTAGCTTATGTTTTTCAACCTGCACTTTCTAATAATGAGTAAAATTTAAAAGTGGGATATGTTCATGCAGTGCGATAGGTCTTACTAATATAAAGGAATATCTACCAACAAACTCAGTTATATGAATAAATCTCAAAAACAAATTGAACAACTGACATAGAGAATTTAGGGCTCTGTGTGTGTGTGCACATGCACGCATGTGTGCATGTATGAATGTGGAAGCCAGAGGTTAACCATGGGGTTATTCTTTAGGTGTTGTCTACCTTGTTTTGAGACAGGGTCTCTTGCTGGGACCTAGACTTCACCAGTTAGATGAGGCAGGCTGGCCAACAAGTCCCAAGGAATCCTCCTGTCTCTGCTTCCTCAGTTCTGGGATTACAAATGTAGACCAAGATACCTGACTTTTTACAAGGGCTGTAGAACGCAGGTCCTCATGTTTTCATGACAAGTGCCTTCCTGACTGAGCTGTCTTTTCTGTCCTTGAGTGCTATAATTTAAAATTGCCAAAACTAGTTTATAGTAGTAGTAATCAAGTTGATGATTCCCCAAGATTGAATGGGTGGGAGATTACTGAAGAGTCTTGGGCATTTGAATGGTTGGTCCCCAGTTGGTGGTGCTGTTTGAGGATGCTTAGTAGGTGTGGCTTTGCTGGAAGGAGTATATCACTGGGGGCAGGATTTGAGGTTTAAAAGCCGGGTGCCTTTTCTTTGCTCTTCTTCCTGATGGTTCAAGATGTGAACTTCTAGTTTCCATCTTCAGTTGTCATGACTCCACTCTACCATCGTGGACCCCCACTCACTAACCTCAAGCCTGAATAAACTCTTCTGAAGTAGTCTTGGTCATGGTGTTTTATCACAGCAACAGAAAAGTAACTAATACGAATTAAGACGGCAAGTGTGCTAGCATAGCACATCTTCTCACTAAGAGTCACTAAGAGATCAGGAGGACCCCGCCCTCATGACTGCATCAAATCTTAATCTCTCAGAGCCCTGTCTTCAAATACTGTTAGCATACAAATATAAGGGTAACATTTTCAATACATGGACTTTGGGTGAACACAGAGACATATATGTAGATACATGTATGTATATATTTTATCCTGACAGTCCTCATATCCAAAGAATATAGATAACTCTTACTAGCAGGGCAAAGATGTGAATACCCATGCCGAGAAAAAGATGTGCAAGGAGCAAGCTTAGGAAAGGTGTTCTGCGGGGTTGTTATCAGAGGAATGCAGATTGGAGTCATAATGCACTACCAACCCACAGGATGGCAAAAATAGAGCACTGAGTGGTGGAGAATCTGGGAGCGACTGTTGTCCTCCTACACTGAGGGGCTGCCGGTGGGAGTGTAGTTTGATAACCAACTTGAAAAGCTGGCAGCATGCCTATACCTTATGACTCACAGTTTCTCCAGATACTCTTCTGTGGCATGCACATACCTAGAGAAGTGATCAAGAATATCAGCTTATTTCTAAATAGCCACAGACTAGGATGTCTCCAGATAGCTATGAATAGTTAAATTGTTTTAAAACCAAACAATAGAATACAAAAAGAAAAATGAGAAGGAATTGAGCAATCAATGAGTGGCAGTCAAAAAGCATTCCATGTAAGTGAAATTCAAAACTAAGCCAAGTATATGGGCACATGCCTCTATTCCCAGCATTTGAGAAACGGAGGCAGTAGGCTAGAGAGTTCAAGTCCATCTTGGGCTCTAAAGTGACCGCTGCTTCAACCCCCCAAAAGTAAGTAGATAAAATGATTTTTGAAAGAACCAAACAGGATTGGGAAAAAAAAAATGAGATGGCTCCTAATGATATTCTGCTATACTTATAGATCAGTGCCTAGCCCAGTTGTCAATAGAAGCAACATCCAGCAACTGATAGAAACAGATGCAGGGACCCACAGCCAAACATTAGGTAGAGCCAGGAAAACCCTGCAGGAGAGGAGGAGGAAGGACTGCAGGAGCCAGATGAGGATACTCCAAGAACACAGCCACAGAATCAACTAAGCAAGGCTCATAGGGACTCATAAAGACTCAAGTGACAATCATGGATTCTGTTTGGGTCTGAGCTAGGTCTGCTGCATATACATATGGTTGTGTAGCCTGGTGTTCTTATGGGACTCCAGGAATAGGAGGTGTCTCTGATTCTTCTGCCTGCTCTTGGGACCCTTTCCCTCTTACTGGGTTGCCTTGTCCAGCCTTATTGTAATTTGTTGTGCCATGTTTGATATGCCTGAGAGGTGCTCTTTTCTGAAGGCAAATGAGGAGGAATGGATCTGGGGAGAAGGTTGTGTGTATGGCAGTGGGTTATAGGAGGAGTAGAGGGAAGGGAAACTGTGGTCAAAATATACTATATGAGGTTTTGTTTTTAAGGAGAAATGATTGTTATTTTAAAGTGTTAGAAACCAAAATTGTGGTTACTTTTGAGTAAGGAATTGGTCTGGGCCCAGCTATAGCTTGGAAGCCCACTTCTTAAGTACAGCTAGTTTACTGGAATGTTTCCTTAAACTCAGTGAACCTCTTGTGTTCACTTATTCAACTGCAAAATCATACCCACATATATGAATGAAGATATGAATGAAGATCAGGGCAAATCCTGTGGAGACAGTCTGTCTCTTCAACATGGCCTCTAGATGCACCATTCTCTGGCCTACATGTGCTATCAAACGGTATTTGATCTTTTCATGGCATCTTACTGTGGACACAGGCTCAGCTCAGCACCTGGCACACAATTAGCAAATAACAATTACTATGCTAAAACCTGATCACTTTGGGGCCACTTTGCCTCTGTATCCCCTGAAATGTAAGTGCCCAAATGTGTGACTTGTGGTCAACTGTTAAACAAGATCCTTGGAGATGGTAGAAGACATGAATTCTTCCCTGTGGACCATGAGCACTGATGTCAGTTTTGTTTACTGTCTATGTGCATTCGATCTCATTTGAAGTGGGTGGAGCTGGGAGTCCATTTCATTTGAATCTCCTCCTTGCATAACATCGTGTGTGGTATTTTCTGCTTTTATAAAACCACTTGAAGTAGGTTCAGTGTCTTAGAGACTAGTTCAGGCTTATAGGAGTCAGCCCCATAGAAATTGAAAAAATATGGCTAAATTCGTGTTTTGTTTTTGTAAATGTGGGTTATTATTATTTAAACCTAGACACAACAGCCTGTCAAAAGTATTGTATTAGCTAGGTGTGATGGTGCAAGCCTGTAACACTAGCTCTTGGCATGCCAAGGGAGGAGCATCTTGAGCTCAAAGCTACCCTGGGCTGCATAGTAAGACCTTTTGTGGTAAAATAGAGGCAAGTGAGATGACTTAGTGAGTAAAGACACCTGCTGCCAAGTGGGTCCCACCTGGTATAAGGAGAAAACAAACTCCTACAAGTTGTACACCATGTACACCATGGTATGCTCACATGCTCCTTATTTGTGCAGATGTACACACAAAATAAATAATTCAATAACTAAAATAAAACCACTCCCTCCCCTAAACTATCCTTTATCCTTTTTGCTTTATATTTTTTATAAGAAATGAAAACTATAGATATTTTATTGGTGCTTGGGATATTTTATTTCATTTAAATTTATTAAAACATTGAGCAGTAAAAAATGAAATAAAAGTAGAAAGGACTGCTTGATACACCGGAAGAGCACAGCAAGATCCTCAATCAACTATTTGGAATGCTTACAGTCGTCATTTTCTCAGAGTAAGGCAGAGAGGCCCCTATTCTGACTAAATAAGTGATGAACCATTTACCTAAGATTGTCCAGGTTTTTGTTAAAGTTTAGTTGCATAACGCAACATTCCCTTTCCCAAATGAGAAACATATCTATGCTGTAGATTTACTTGTAGGTCTTGTGTCTTCATTGACCTATCTTGTGACTGTAGGATATGAACATAAAATGCAGGATGTTGGAACTAGGAGAAATCATTGTTTTTGCTAACAAGACCCAACACATGCTCTTACAGCTGCTTTGGCTCTTCTCCTGGCCCAGTACAATTATGTGTAACTAATGGGGTAAGGATTTTTAGGTTTAAGTTTTATTTTTTCCTATGTGAATACAACTAGCTTTTTTGGTTTCATGTTGCTTAAGAATGCAGAGTATCACAGAGACTGAACTGACAACCAGGGAGCCTGCATGTGACTGACCTAGGCACTCTGCATGTATGTTATAGTGAGTAGCTTGGTCTTCTGTGGGAGTCCTATCAGTGGGAACAGAGGCAGTCTCTCAGTCTTTTGCTGGCTTCTTGGGCCCTATGCCTCATACTGGGTTGCCTTGCCCAGCCTTAATATGAGGGGAGGAGCCTAGTCTTCCTGCAACTTGATATGCCATATTTAGTTGATATCCATGGGAGGCCTGCCCTTTTCTGAAGGGAAATGGAAGAGGAGTTGGGGGTTGGGGGGAGAGTGACTAGGAGGAAAAGAGGGCAGGAAACTGCAGTAGGGAAGAACAAATAATAATAATAAATCATTTAAAATCATAACCTTATCTTAGACCATATATACATACAATTATTCATATATAGTTATTCATATTATATTTATTTATAAGCAAAATTTATTGGGAAAATATAAAAGAATACAGAGCAACTCGGTCTTATACCATGAAGTATGTTTAGCTAGAGCCAAGTAAAAGATTTATGTTAAAATTGGGGTGGCCATGTCTAATGAGAGTCACCCTGGAGGCTGCCACTTGTCTAGTCTGTGAAGAAGTTTTAAGTCTGGAATTTCCTAAAACTCCACTGTTTCTGTGTGATTTGTATTTTTTCAGCTGAAAGAAGAGAAATTACAAGAAGAAAAAACATGTGAAGATCAGACCCACAAGATACTGCAGGAGGATTCAGAAATGGGGAAAAGGAAAATGGATAAACAGAAAAAAAGAGATGAGCCAGTAGTGTTGAGAACAAGTCTGGAGCAGGTTAGTAGTCACCTTCTGTATGGACATGTGCTCAGTCTGGCCGTTCAGCCAGGGATGTTGGTCTGAAAGATTTGTGTTTATAAACCATAGCACCAGAAACTCCCATTGATTGTGCAGCCCAAGAGTAGGGAAGAACTTTCCATCTCAGTGGAACAAGAAAATATTTTTTGAAAATGTAATTATATTCATGTGGCAAAATAACAGTTTAATATCATTCTACTTAAAATGTTTGAACATCTAATGATCCTGTATATATTTTGAGTCATATCCTTTAAGTATTTTTATATAGCCTTGTTAAAATTTCAGATTAGTTTTTTTAATGGTTTGAAATTAATGAGGCCTTAACATATATGAAGTAAGGCAACATAAAAGAGTAGGAAAAGAGGGGCAGGAGAGATTGCTGTTCTTGCAGAGGACCTGGGTTTGATTCCCAGCACCCACATAGTGACTCACAGTATCTTATAACCCCAGTTCCAGGGAATCTGTTGCCCTTTTCTGAATCCCATGGGGATTCAGGCATGCATGTGGGGAACATGCAGGTCAAATATTCATCAGTAAAAATAAATAAAATAAATAAGAACATACCCAGAGTGAGAGTGAGAGAGAGAGAGAGAGAGAGAGAGAGAGAGAGCGCAGGAAAACAGCTCTCCACAGCCAGCATTGCTGCTCACTGCACTCTGTCCAGTTCCTTCCTGTCCACCTTCTGGCTTAGTCTGTATAAAGACATTTTTTTCTGAGCTTCAGAAAACATGTTTTTTTAAGCTGTGTTTAGATGGTGTATTTGCTGCCTGCCATATGCAGATGACATACAATTTTGTTTATAGTCTTAATCGTCATAAATTATTATTATTAAAAGTAACCACTTGGAAACAAACCATGGTGACACACATCTGTAACAGCAGCACTTGGGAGGTTGAGGCAGGAGAGTTGCAGTTAAGGTGTCCTGAGCTCTGTAGTTGAGCTCTAGGCCTACCTGGGCTACTATATATGTAGCAAAGCTCTTTCTCAAATCAGTAAGAATAAAACAAAGGCACTTGAATTTTACAAATTTTCAATCTTGTGAAAGATTCCATTTAACAAGCTAAAATGCTGTGTGCTCTCAATGTTATGTACCCCAGGAACATTAAAAGGCTTGCTGCTGGGAAGGATACATGTGCATTAGCTTAGGAGGCAATAGGATGTATGCTGGTTTGACCACAGCCCTGGCTGTCACTGCAGTCAGAGACTGCAGTGTCCCCAGGCAAACAGTCCAAAGGCACCAAAGCCTGATAGAGATGGTCTTTCCATGGAAGGAGCCTGCAGATCCAGATCTCCTCCAGGAACTGGTCTCTAATACTGATTCCCTGTCATGGCTGGGAGCCATAGTTATTTTGCTTTTGGCAATACCATCTTTAAAGTAGAAAGCATTTACACCAGTGTAGTTCACGTCTTTAAAAGAATCAGGAAATACACCCCTTCAGATTCCTTTACTGAATATATAATATTCAATATAATAGTGCCAGGTCCATAACATTACTAATGTAAAGCACAGCTATTGCGGTAAATAAGGATCAGGATAAACAAATAGGCCGAATAGATGTTTATTCAGGGAGAAATAACTTACAACCTAGACAGATGAACACCAGGAAATTCAACCCGATCCTCTCCTGTCCGAGTCACGCCAGAAAGAGAGAGAAAGAGAGAGCGCCTTCCTGGCCCCCTCCGACCTCCTTCCTCAGGTCACCTCCGCCCATCGCTCCACCCCCAATGGGCGTGGTCAGTGCTACAGAAGGACTACCTCACTACACACAGCGAGTAAAATCTAACCTGTTTTGAATTTTTTATGATCTGCCCTTTTGTACCCTCCTATTTCCTTTTACATTTTTGAGGATTTTTAAATGGCTTTAATAGTTCTTAGACTGATGCAGGCATATGCTCTCAACTACTTGAGAGACTGAAGTTGAAAGATTGTACTTTCATGTGAGCTCAAGGCTAGCTCTGGCAACTCAATGAGACTGTTTAAAATCAAAATACCAACAAGGGCTGGACAGTAGAGTAGAGGAGCACGTGACTAGCATATGCAAAGCCCTGGGTTCAGTCCTCTGTACTAGGGAAAAGCAAGTGTTTGGTCTTGAACAAATGATTTCATTATATTGAAATTGCGACCCAAGAGAATCTGAAATAGTCTTAATGGAAAGCCAGCCAGAGCACTTTTTGTATGAAGGGTGTGCCATGATGAGTCATTACACTTTCCTACCACCAAACCTCAACGACTCTACACTTCTTTGAGAACTAAATGAAAACTCTTCACCCAACACCCAGGTCCTTCCTTAAGCATGATTCTAGCTAGTCTTCCCATCCTTAAGTATGCTCTAAGACTCTTGGGAGCAGAACTATTTGCTGCCAATGTATACACTCTGCTTTGCTTTCTCAGGAGCATTTTCAACAGCTTGCTGGTGGAAATGTTGTAGTTTGTCTCACTAAGTCTAGTTTAAAAGCTGTACCTTCAAACTGTTAGATCCCTTATGCCTTTCCCCATTCTACCCTTAATCTTTGTGACTCTTACAAGATTTCCTGCTCCCCTTATAGATTTTTATTTGTTTCTATATGAGATTGTCGACATGTGTCTGGCTCAATTAAAAACCTCGCACAATTCCTTGGCCATCACAAGTTTTTCATGCATGCTCATGATATTATTAAACTCAGAATATTCTTTCTAAGCATATTCTTTCTAAGAAAGGAGAGATTATGATCTATTATTTTTATAAAGGGAATAAAATGCTTGAACTGTTGTTTTCTTATGGTGGGAATTGTTGGAAAAGTTATTAAAGATCAATTATCCTACAACCTAGAAGTAACCCCTACAGACATTTTGGTAATTATTCTAATCTGACCTATTTTCTAAGCTGTGTGTCCGTGTGCGCACGCACACACACTCACTCCCTTATGTTTTCTTTTCATGCAGAAATATTGCTTTGTGTACATACTGCTTTATAACTTTCTTTTAGTTAATTATAAATTGTGCCTTTCTGTAAATAAAGAATTCATATCTTTCTTTACTTGTTCGCTAATACAATTTATTCGACTATTATAATCTCCTACAGGTACCTGGCTGTCTTAAATGCCTCTGTGTAAATTACTAAAAGTAGAAGGCCAGGTGACAGGCAGTGTGCTTTAAACTGCTTTGACTTGTTTATTGCCCAGTTATCTCCCCCCCCCCCCAGAGTGTGGTGTAGATGAAATCCGTTCTCAGTGTATGAAAGCTCCACACCTGCTTCCCAGACACCACTGCCTGTCCTTGTGCGGGAGGACGGCACTTGTCTTGAGTGTCACTGCAGACATTTCATTTGTCCATACTCTACATTGTCTTAAGGACCCATAGTGCCTGAGGCTTATTCATATGCAAGTGTAAAGGTGAGAGATAAATATTCCATATCTAATGTTTCTAGGCTGTGGGCATGCGAAGGTTGAGACATGGGTAGCTTTTGTCTATATAGATATTTATTTGCAATAATGCAGTTTAGTTTTCATCAGTTGAAGGAATTTGGTGATACTGTAAAACTAAGCCTTTTTCTTAGTACTATTTAAATTAATAAAAGCAAAATCTCTTTTATGAGGATTTACCTGTTACCTTATTTAATACTTTATCAGCTTAGTGCAATCTCTATAGTAGAGCTGTGGTTCTCAACCCTCTTGATGCCATGACCCTTTAATACAGTTTCTCATGTTGTGGGTGACCCCCCCAAACATAAAATTGTTTCTGTTGCTGCTTTATACCTATAAATTTGCTACTCTTATGAATCATAATAGTAGTGGAGTGGGTTGTGACCCACAGGTTGAGAATCACTGATTCAGAGACAGCAAAAGCAGACTAAAAGATGAATCATTTACCCTGGAGTGACACTGATAGAGATGGGATCTGAATAGTCTTTTACTTGGTACCAAATTGGTTATGAAAAGAGACCAAATACATAGAAGGTTGCCATTGTTTACCTTGTGTTCCAACTCTTCCAGAGTTGGAAGAAAACATCATACAATTTGATAATGGGTTAGTTTGATTTGGGATGTTTTCAGTTAAAGCCACATTGCAATTAGTATTTTCAGAAAGCATTTGTAATCCAATTGGAACTCAGAAAAGAGACTTAGAGACTGAACTTTGAAACTATAGCTATGAGAGATCCAATGGGAACCCAATCTTGCCTCCCTTGTCTCCTTGCCAGTGTCCTGCACGTCTCTCAGATTCAGAGAATGAAGAACCCTCTCGGGGCCAAATGATACAGACGCATCGCTCAGCCTTTGTTTCCAAGAACAGCTCCTACTCCTTAGCTTTCCTGGCAGGGTAAGAGACTGACAACTGAATTCAGTCAGTGTTCTTTCATTTGGGGGATGACAAGGTATTCAGAAGGGGTAAAAGTAGAAAGGTTAAAAAGAGGTGGGAATTGAACTTTATTTTTCATTTTTAAAAACTTGTATGTGGCTGGACAATGGTGGTACATGCCTTTAATCCCAGCACTTGGAAGGCAGAGGCAGGCAGATCTCTGTGAATTTGAGGCCAGCCTGATCTACAGAGTGAGTCCCAGGACAGCCAGTGCTACACAGAGAAACCTTGTCTTAAAAAAAAAAAAGCATAGATTACAGAGAAGGGGCTCCTCTGTGTGTGTGTGTGTGTGTGTGTGTGTGTGTGTGTGTGTGTGTGTGTGAGTGTATGTGTGTGTGTGCGCGCGCACGTGTGCGTACGTGCGTGCATGCTGCATGCTTGCGTAAGGTAACCTCCAGTGGTGTTCCTCAGGAGCTATATACCTTGTTCTTTGAGACAGGGTGCCTGATTAGCTTGAAGCTTGACAAGTGGGCTAGATGACTGACAGCCCAGGGAGTCCAGGACCCACCTGTCCTCATCTTCCTAGCACTGGGCTCACAAGCAAGTGGTCTTTGAAACCAAACTCAGTCTTCTCAGCCCCTCCTGAATTTTTATATTTACCCATTTCTCAAATCCTGTGGGTAGGATTATGTTAATTTTGTAGTTGCAAAATATGACCCTTTTGCCTGTGGAAATGAGTCCTTTTTGGTTTGATGGTATCTGTAGACTTTCCCTCTGGACTGTAAAACTCTTAGAAGGGATGAGGGCTGTGTTGACTTTCTTTTCCTTGACTAGATCTAACATGGGTTTCAGGAATTTTTTTAAGACCCTGTTCAAGGAATTTCTGGATCCTTTAGGCTTTGCAGATCCTGGGAAGGAAAAGAGAGCAGGGTTGGGTGGTTGCTTGACCCTGGAAGAATATTGTAGGGCAGGCAAGCAGACAGGCAGGCAAGAAGTGAATCATTTGTTTAGTAGATATTTTAAAAGTGGCTACTCCATGCTGTGCTCCATTCTAATATAGAGTATGAAGCACAATCTTGACCCCATTTTTTGTCTTTTTTTTTTTTTTTAACTTAAAGCTGGCATTATTCATCCTTCCTGCTAGGGCTCTTTTTTTTTTTTTTTTTTTTATGCATATAGAGTATTTTTTATTTAATTTTATATAACAAAGTCCAATTAAATGAAAACAAACATTTATACACAATATTTGGGAATTTGGGCGTCGTTCTTTCCAAACTACTTCCTGCTGGTAAGGGGCGCTGTCTTGGGGGATTCGAAGAAGATTCAGATATCCTAGCTGTAGTCTGTCCTGCTAGGGCTCTTTTTTTCTTTCTTGCCAACACCATGTAGTAGCTGCCTCTCTTGCTGCCTCTCTTCTTTCCTGGAGAAGTTACTGGTCTCTGTGTGTAACCATGACAAGCTACCATGTCTAATAACTTTGTCAGAGGGTCTGTCCTGAAAGGTCTCTGCTATAATGTCTGCTCTGGAAACCTTTGTGTATGTTCTTCAGGAGCAATCTGGTACCCTTTCTTGAAGATTTCTAAGAGTGGAAGTCACCAGATCTCTTTTTCCTGTAGGTGTCATCCCTGGAGTAATAGTACCCTGAAGGCCTCCCCTTCATGTTCGTTCACTTGTGTGATGTTTGTGGAATGGCCATGTGTGCTAGACAGATAGCTTAGTCAATAGAATCAGAACCAAGTAAGTGGGTAAGCCTATGTCACACAGTGATGAAGATAGACTCACAGTGTGAGCCAGTACAGCATTACAAGTCACAATAATTGTCACTTCATGGTTATGTATACCCAATCATAGCTATATCTTAATAATTATGAAACAGGAAGAAAAATAAAATCATTTTTCTAATAAAGCCAAAGATCACAATATTATAATGTGAAATATTATAACTTAAAGAATAAATTGTTATTATATCAAAAGGCCATTGCCCCTGTTGGAGTACATGCTGAATGGGTGAATTCCAGTTCTGGCTCTACTCTTGTACTTGTATAATTCATTCTTCTGAAAGAGGGCCTGCAGTTTAATGGGCTATTACATAAAGGCCTTAAAAATTGTTCTTTCTTGGACTGAATTGTACAAGCACAGAGGAGTGTGCTTATAGAACGATCTCTTCTATATCTTCTTTCCCATCTCCTAGCCTATTCTTGCCACAACAGGACAGTTAATGTGCAAACACTGACTTTAGACTTTGTTAGCTCACATTAAGGTTGGTATTATGTAACCTGGATCTCAGAGCCCATCTTACAAATATTCAAGTCAGGTGAAGTTCAATTGTTAGTTTAGGTTTTGAGACAGCTAATTGGATAGTATATGAGCATGACCAACCCAGAAGGAAAACACTGGAGTCCATCTCCCACAACTGTCATGCCCAAAGCCAAAGTCTTATTAATATCATATCTAATCTTCATTAAGACTTAGTTTTATTTACCTATCTTTTTTACACCTATTATGTGTGTGTGTGTGTGTGTGTGTGTGTGTGTGTGTGTGTGTGTGTGCACGCGCGCCTGTGGAGGTCAGAGGGCAACTTGCAGGAATCAGTTTTCTCTTCTGCCATCATCTATATCAAATTCAGTTGTATTTCTATATACTAGCAGTGAATAATTTACAATGAGTAAACCATCCCATTTTGATCCATTACTAGGATCAAACAGTATAATAATTAGAAATAAAATTAACCAGAAAAGCATAACATTTTAATACCAAAACCCCAAAGTTTGATTGTTATAGAACCTAAATAAAGGAAGTGACATCTTGGTAGACAATATGTTAGAATGATGCTAAAATTCACATGTGGGATCAGGAGATCCCAAATAACTGAAACTGCCCAGAAAAAGGACAGATTGATGGTAGCAATCAAAACTGTGATGCTAGAATAGGGAACAGATAGAGAGTCCAAAAATGATGTATACATTTCTGGTCAGTTAATTCTCAACAAGGCAACAAGGTGTCAAGATCATTCACTGGAAAAAGAAACATTGCCTCTTTACATGGTGCTGGCACATCTGGGAATGTGAGAGATGAAATCCTTAGAATAACAGACTCTAAGATTATATATAATAATCACCCTCTAATGACACTCTAACGTGGTGGCCTTCAGTGACTAAATGTGCCTCTGAATTACATTGTTATGAGTTGCTCTCCAGTGCTTTGCATCAAGTTGCTATTCAAAGTGTGCTTTCCAAGTGAAATGACAAAGAAAATTTCAATGATGCTAAAGTTTATCAAAAATATCTTCACTCTCAGAAACTTCTTTAGGTGTCTTCATTATATGCTTCACCACAAATGTGAGTTTGCTCCCTGGGTTTTTTCTTCCACCAATATGGAGTCTAGTGGGAGAGATGGGAAGTGGTTTTCCCAGCTGCAGATTGTTGTCATTTGTGTATCTGTAATTTGGACCTGAAACTAGACTAGTGACTGTCACCTTGGACATTTCCCCTGACAAGATGGATTCCTAGCCTGTATTGTTAATTCCTCAATACAGAATTTAGAACTCATGGTTTAGGTGCAGTTTCAGCCTGACTACCTGCAGTGGCATCAAATTCAGTGTTCCAGACAGCTGCTGTACTGGAAGCTGCAAAGGTCTTTTTTGTATTGGTCAGAAAATCTTTTCTTCTCGTTGTCTGTTTGCCTCACCAAAAGCCATGTATTTGAAATAATAATGCCGCCTCTTTCAGCTCTTAATCCTTGGTCAGTGTGCACATTTTTACAAAGTCCTTTGTGCTGGTGTCTTAGTTAGGGTTTCTATTGCTGTGAAGAATCACCATGACCATAGCAATTCTTACAAAGGAAAGCATTAAATTGGGGATTACTCCGTTGTTGTCATGGCAGGAAGCATAGCAGTGTGTAGGCAGACACGGTGCTGGAGAAGGAGCGGGAGTTCTACATCTTGATCTGCAGGCAGCAGCAGGAGACTGTGTGCCACACTGAGCATAACTTGAATATGTGCGACCCAAAACCCATCCCCATAGTGATACACACTTCCTCCCACAAGGCCACATCTCCTAATAGTGCCACTCCCTATGGGCCAAACATTAGAACACTAGTCATTCCTATAGGCCACCTCAAGTGGCTTAGGTAACTGATAGTTTGCCTGGTGTCTAGGAATGCAAATGAACTTAAATGTTTTCTAAGCATCAACCTGGCGTGCATCTAAGGAACTGTCTTCTTAAGGTGATGCTGAATTTTTTTGCTTGCTCCAAAATTGCGAGAGATTCTCATCTCATTTTAGTTAAGTGCTGAATTTTCTTGTTAAAATGCAAGTATGTGTTATGCAGCCACCATTTTTTCCTATGTGGCCGTATGACATAGAAAGGGAGAAACACACAGGTGCAGGAATAGAAGCCATTCCAAGTGCTAGACAGGCCTTCTCTACTAGGATGATCCTTCCTTGTCCTTCCCTTCCTCCCACCCTCCCTTCTTCCTCTCCCCCTCCCTCAAGGTTTCTATGAAGCAGTTCTGACATTAAAATATTTTCTGTAAGAGTTCATATGATGTATCCCATTAAAGAGCTAAATAGTGTCAGTTGAGGAAATAATTTGTTTAGAATTGTCTACATAGTTATGTGTCTGCCTTGATTTATTATAAATACTTATTCATCCAGCAAAATGAATATGCTGTAGATTTTCCAGTTTTTTCATTCCATCTCAGTTATTAATAACCCTCTTTTTTGCCATTTCTGTCTTATGCCATGATGTTTTATTATGCCCTCAAATTGTATAATACTGAGTTATTTGTCCCACTGATCTGATTCCCTGAAGACCTGAACTGTCTCATCTTTTCTAGATCCTCAGTGCCTGGGCCCATCAGTGTCTTATATGTACTAGTATGTTATAAATGCTTGATTAAAGCAGAGTTGAAAAAATAATTACTTGTAGAGTGGTGTAGATGACTGCTTGCTGTCTGCATGCAGTTCTTTAGTAGATTCCATCTAGCGTTCCATACAGCTGAGAGGATGTTAGGCCCAACCTTTTCCACATGTCAAGTTTAGATCAGATATAACAACTAAATTATAAAACTCTTGAGAGGGTGAAAAACAACAACAGCAACAAACCACTTGGAGCTTTAGTTATAAAAAGCTTCCCAGTTCCTTCATTTATCATACTGTAATGCAGTGGACTACAATGTTCAGTGCAGGTACTGTGGGGTGTGGTTCTAAGTCAAGAGATAGCTCAGTGTTTCTGATCACTGGCTGCTCTTCCAGAGGACCCAGGTTAGATCCTAGCATGCACATAGCAGCTCACAACCATTTGTCACTGCAGTCCTCTGCCAGATCCATGGTCTCCAGGTGTACATGTGTTACACAGATATACATGCAGGCAAAACACCCACACACATAAAGTACAACAAAAATTGTAAAGTCATAATACATAAGATAAAAATTGTGCATTCTGGAAGACTTTTAAGTCACTGGGACTTAGGTCTCTGGAAACTCAAATGTAAAGGGGTAAGCAAGAGACTATACTTAATTTTGACTCCCTAAATAAGAACACAGAACATTGTGGTGCATCTTCCTAAATGCTTCCATATTTTGTTTTGTGGCTGCCTTAGATTGCTTGTGGAGAGGTTTGGGTCTAATCAGAAGAACAGGTTTTGTTTGTGAGGAGATTGAATGCTCTACACACCATTCTGAGGTGGGTAAAATACCCTCACTCTGTGAGCCTGGCAAACAGCTGTCCTCTACTTCACCAAGGCAGGGTCTGGAAACAAGCCTGAATTAAGTGTCCTTTCTTTCTCTTTGGCATTTGGTTAATAAGTTAACCTGTTATAGCTACCTAAGGGAATTCTTTCTTGGTGAGTGGCTTAGAATGGTAAAAGAGATTGTCATCCTTTCCTAAACACATGTATAGACTAATTGTAACTATATATTCTTTCTCTCTTTCTTTTTCTTTTTCTTTTTTTTTTTTTTTTTTTTTTTTTAGGAAGCTTAACACCAAGGTGCAGAGGAGTCAGAGCTGCAGTGACACAGTTCAGGACAGAGTGAAAAGCAGGCTCAGAACAGCTCCACCCAACAGAGCCAAGGTACACCTCAGCCTCAGGCTGCTGGGACTCTCCCACCTTCCATCTTATCCCTCAACACACACGTAGCTTCCCCTGAACAAGGCAGATCACATTAGTTGCATAGAGAATTATACAGCAGGTATGAAGGAAGAAGGTTCAAATTAGTGACAGATGGGGGTATTAAGCCATTATAGACACTTTTTTTTTTTTAATTGGTTTGTTTTTAAAGATTTATTTACTATGTATACAGTGCTCTGCCTGCATGTATCCCTGCAAACCATAAGAGGGCACCAAATCCCACAACAGATAACTGTAAGCCATCATGTGGTTGCTGGGAATTGAACTCAGGACCTCTGGAAGACCAGGCAGCACTCCCAACAACTGAGCCATCTCTCCAGCCTTATAGATGGATACCTTTTAAAAAGGTCTCAATGAAACCTATCTTCATATTTTAATGTTGCTAACTCCTTCAAGTGTGTGTATATGTTTTAGTCTGGAGATTTCACCATTTTTTTAGGTACACATTACCCTTCCTCTACCTTCTTTCCCTATCCTCCCACCATCTAAAGGACTTAAGTAGAAACAAATACCTGTATGAGAGGGCTGAAGGATGGCTCAGCAGTTAAGAGCACTTGTCCTTACAGAGAACGAGAGCCAGGTCAGGCAGTTGCTTCCCATAATTCCAGCTACAGGGGGTCCAACACCTTCTTCTGGCCTCTTTGGACACCTGCACATACATGTGCAAACACACACACACACACACACACACACACTTTTTAAAATGAAAAATAAATAATACAAAAAGTAAAGAAAAATACACACACAGACACACATACCACACACATACACAATCTTTTATATTTCTTTCAGGTCACAACTATAACTCCAGGCTCTGCTCCCATTATTGGTGTTCTCTTGTCCAGTCAAAACAACCGCTGCCTCTCAGCCCCTGACTTAACTGTAGAAAAGCGCCTGCCCTTCAGCTCCCTTTCATCCTTGGCCTCATTGCACAAGCCAGAGCGCTCTATCAGCCCTGAAAGCAACGACAGTATCTCTGAAGAACTAAACCACTTCAAGCCCATCGTCTGCTCACCATGCACCCCTCCCAAGAGACTCCCCGATGGCCGCGTGCTAAGCCCTCTCATCATCAAGTCTACACCACGCAACCTGACCAGAAGCCTGCAGAAGCAGACTTCCTACGAGGCTAGCCCACGGATCCTCAAGAAGTGGGAGCAGATCTTCCAGGAGCGACAGTTCAAGAAGACCCTTTCCAAAGCCACTCTCACATCCCTGGCCCCTGAAGGAGGGGAAGAGTTACCAGGCTCTGAAGCTATCCATTCCAGCAAGGAGAGGCCACCTCTGGCTTTAAGTACCAGACTGTCCAGGGCCCAGGTGCTCTCAGAGTGTGCTGGGCCCACCTCCACTGCCCTTGAGTATTTCCCTTCTGTTAACCAGACAAAAATAGAACAGGACTACATTAGAAAAAGGAGCCACGAGGTCCCGCTGGAAACCTGCCATTTCTCAGAGAGAGGAATAGCCAGTGGGCTGCCTTTGCAAGGGGAGCAGTTTGAGGAGTCAAGGTCCACCCTAGACACCACATTAGACAAAACTTGTATAAGCACAGTCATGAAGACCTCGGCAGTTAATTCAGTGCTACCCAAAAATGATGTTTTGGGTGGGGTTCTCAAAACAAAGAAACAGCTGAAGACACTTGGCCATTTTGATCTGGCTAATGGCATTCTGGTTGACAGCCTAGGAGAGGAGCCAATTCCTTCTCTGCGTAGGGGCCGGAAAAGGCGCTGTAAGACCAAGCACTTGGAACAAAATGGTGTTAAAAAACTGCGACCACCCAGCAGTGACATGGGCCTGGCCCCCAAAGACCCAGGGCTGGGTGAGGTGGGGCAGAAATGGCAGCAGGAGGAAGAGGACCAGCCAATGGCTCTGCAGTCACAGCGCATATTTGACAGCGAGAGGCGGACTGTGAACCGGCGGAAAGGAAACATGGACCAGTATCTCTTACGGTCCAGCAGCCTGGCTGGGGCCAAGTAGCACTGAGTGTACAGTGTAACATTACCTGCTTTTCAGAGGCCCTTGCCTCAGTCATTTATCCAAGAGAGCTAGCTGAATGTTCTCACTTCGAGTTTCTTTCAATGGCAAAACACTGTCCAGTATGGTTCTGAGATGCTTTGGGGCCTTGGTAATCAAAGCCAAGAGTCTGCATCTTTGTCTCTCTAGGACCTGGGCCTTACTCCTCACCCGCTGAGTGGGCCAACTCTGAAGGCTTCTGGGCCCAAATCTGGCAGCACCCACTTGGAATGAGATTGGGAATGGATACATTTGTGAACATGATGGCCACAGAGAAGCAGGGAGAGGGTCCCTTCTTACACTCATAAGGCTTCTTACAACAGAGCAGTGTTTAAGGCAGCCTTGCAGAAAAACATCCACTCTTCTGACAAGCAGTGCAGTGCTTTGGAAGGTCCGAGATAAATAGGTGATCATGTTTGTCTTTGTCTCCCCTTTGCCACAAATAACTCTACATACTTAAATCAGTTGAGCTTAGAACTTTTGCTTCTCCAGAGGTTAATTATATTCTCTGTTTAAACTATGACATTTGATTGATGCTGTGTGATTGACACCTGGTCTTCCTGAGACCTAACTTGTAAGTGGTGTCAGCTGGATGATGAAGCTGCAGTGCAGGCCATCTGGTTCTCTCAGCTGCCAAGTGGTGTAGCTCAGGCTGACCATTGTGCTGCCCCCTGGCCACAAATCCCATGGATTCTCCACTATCACAGGGTGCCCAAAGGAAACAGAACCCACGGGGAAGCCAGGGCTACCTAGGGAGACCGGCTAGGCATTGAGTGTGACATTGCAAAGCCCACCTAGAAACAATTAACATTGCTGAGATTGGACCATTGCTGAGATGTAGTGATTTCACCCTCCCCGTTTACAGACTCCTGTTTTCCCAGGAGTCCTAGCCTATGAGATGAACTAACTTTAAGGCTTCTTTACTTCTTTCCACGTGGCAATGGCTATCTGAAATTTTGGTCTGAAAATCAGGAAAAACTTGCCCCAAAGTTAGGCAAGGGACAATATTGAGACTCCATACTGTGGAAGTAAGGTATCTAGCTGGATGCAGCTGGTGAATTCAGTCCCATGGACCTTTGGGGTTTATTTTTCTTAGCAGCTGACACCATGTGTCTTTTGCATCCCTGGTGGTGCTTGGTGCTTCTGCCCTTCTGGGCTCAATGAGAATAAGGATTGTGATATGATTTAGGGACTCTCAGGTGGGCTGGTGTTCCCTGTGTCTGTATCAGCTGTTACCATAGTCATGTGGAAGAAACCTTCCAGGGTGTCTATGCTGTCCCCCTTGAAAGGTCCCAGCAGGGTACTGCATAGTTCTCCAGTGAAGTTGCCTTTGATCGGAATGTTTTTGAAGCATTCAAAGTCTAGAAGTAGCTAGAACTACAGACTCCTTCCTCAGCACTGAGGGAGGTCACCGGTAGTGCTGTTTCCTCAGGGCAGATGTCGGGCTTTTGGGATTCTAGAAGAGAGAACTTCAGATCTGGAATGAGCCCAGAGTGGTTGAAGCTTCTAGGAAGGTGGGAAGGAGCACATGGTGTCCCAAGCAAGGTGTCCCCTTGAAGCAGGCAGAGATACTTTCTCTGCAGCTCATAGCTGACTATTCCCAGGGATGCTGGATGTGTGTGGCCATCACTAAGAAAGGTGGCTTCACAGCTGCTCTGGTGGGGACCTGTGTGTGGCCCCAGGTGTGGGTGTATGTTTTAAAAACATGCAATAGTCTCATTACTTTATATTCCTAACATTTCTCTTTAAGGGCTGCTAGAAGGTGTACCAATGTCCCAAATAAGAGAGCTGGCCCTGGTCTGCAGATGCAAGGAAGATTCATTAGAGAAGACTTTGAAATTTCTGCCATTTCATATATTTCCTTTATGACCTTGGTAATTATTATTGGAAAGAAAGCTAGTCTTAACTGGGTAGTAGCAAAGACACTTATTTTTCCACATGCCACCCTTTTATATGTCACTAATCATTAGAAAAACACTTTCAGTTGGAATTAATTTTTGGTTTTGGTAAAAAAAAGATAAAATATTTTAATAGATGAAAAATATATTTTTTAAATATCTCCTTACCCCTAGTTACTACTGATTTTAAGAGTGTATAGCAGTGGCAACAAGTGCAGGCTGCAGGTGCAGTGTTGCTGCTAAGTGAGTATTGCAGACACTGGGCTGGGCTGTGGCTGTCCCTGTGCACCCCAGTGAGACCCAGGCTGCTGTACACAGTGTTGTTCCCCACGCTTCCTGCTGAGCAGTGGTCCTTGCAGTAGAGGCAGAGCAGTTTATCTTGAGGAGGAAGGTTTACCCCTTAGTCCACTTAGCTTTGAAGATGGAAAAGCTACCAAAGTGCTGCATGCGAGATACTCCCACATCTGGTCTCTAAACCTGTTTCTGAAAACTTCTGTTTCAGTGCTTTACTGAAGTCCTTTGCAAGTACAGTTGTTGACTGGATTCCTAACGAGTAAAGAGACAGGGAAATAGGATGGTTGGGAGGGTTGGTGCGCTGGAGTGAAAGATACTATTCCACAAAATAAATGCTCCTCACAAGTCACTGTAGTTCTGTTCACCCTGGAATTGCCCACACTCTGCTGTGTTCCTTTTGTATATGCGTTCTGCTTGTTTTCTTATTAAAGAGGAAATTATGAGAACAGGAGGGTGAGTCTTTCTGATGGGAAATCAAGAGATGTGTCATCCTCAAAAGGGTTTGGTAGCCCTTCATGAACAGCTGATTATACCTGTTGGAAGACGTCATCTGGACCTGATGGCATCAAGTCAAGGATTATTCAGCCAGCAACTGACCTCTGTCCCTTAGTTACTTCTTGAAAAAAAAAAAAAAAAAAAAAAAGTTAAGTCTGTCCAAGGCTTGTCAAGGAATACTTTCCTAGTTGACCTCATTTATTAAAAGAAACAAAACAAAACTTCTTGTATGGAGGGTGTACTGGTCATAAATGTCTTTTAAAAGTATTTTGAGAGTAGAGCTATTTAATTAATTATTGTCTGATTACAAACTAGCCACTGACTAAAGTGGGGAGCTGATGACTGAAGGCCGTGTTCATTCAGTAGGCACTTTTGCGCTCTTAGACCACTCCACCCTGTTCGGGAACATAGGATAGTCCCTGTTGTTGGGGACTTGTCTAGTGCAATGTGTATGGATGTGTGTTCAGCTAGAGAGTGTGTTAATGGTCTTAGAAAGGCCATTTCATCTGTAACATTGCTCTTCAGTGGTCCTGTTCAGGACATCAATCTAGCATTCAGCCTGTCACTGGCAATGTTTTCCATACCTCATCAATCACTATTTATGAGTTGATTAACTCTGCTTTTTCCATTTCCTAAGTAACTTTTCCAGGGAAGAATGGATTTTCTCCTGCAATGATTATAGGCCAATCACCCTATTCAAAGCTGCATTTACTTCAAGTTCCAAGAAATGAGTCAGGTCTGGACCACTGATAGGGCCAGAGAAGCCCTTTCTTATTCACTTGAGTGACCTCCTAATGCATCCCACAGGCTGACCTGTCACCAAAACTGACAGTGGCTTTGGGTTTCTTCTTCCTAGCTTGTCACTGAGGTGGAGAGCCCTCTGAAGAGGGTAGAGGCTAGCTCATATATGGGATGTTAAAGCTGGACCAGCCCCAGCCCACTTTAAAGTGGACCAGCCCACTGTTTCGGTTTCTGAGGTAGTTCTCTAGGGATGGATAATAGTGAAAGTTATACAGTTGAGTGAATGATGGGGACACCCAAGTAACAGGTTTAGAATGGCTTTTGTTTTTCCTTGTTTCTTTCTGTTGAGATGTACCTACATCCCTTGAATACACCATGATATATAGGATACATAATAGGGAAAACCCCATAGTATGAGCTAAGTAATGAGTGGAATTTTGTTGCATGTTAATTATAGCTTTTGCTAATTCTTTCAAAATCAAACTAATCATTAGGGTCTTAAACCTACCCTAGCCAGCCCTTTCCTCATCAACTGTAGAATGCGCCTTAGATTTAGCCTCTACAGAGAGGAGTTGGTTAAAGTTATGAGGAAGAGCAGGTTGTGAGGACTAGGCTGTGGCAGAGCTTTTCTTTGATGACCCAGAAATGTAACTTTCCCTGTGGTTTTCCCCTGGAGCATTCTGGAGACTGCTCAGTAGAAGAGGTGTAAAGATACAGAGGTCACCAATGTAGTCAAAGTGGATGGTGGAGGAAGCGCCTTGTCCATGGGAGCAGACTGCTCTCTGTCTCTCCCCCGTGCTTCTTCTGAGGGGAAGAAGGTACTTTCCCATTCCCTGAGTTTGTTGCCAGATATGTGTGAGGGCTGACCTTAGCTCTAAACAGGCTCCTCCCTTTCTGGTGCCTCAGGTCCAGAAGGAGTTAGTTAGACAAAGCCATTCTAAGGTTAGGCTTGCTCATCTCCCTTCCCTACCGCCAAGCAAGTGCACAGACGGCGAAGGCTTCAGTGTCAAGCCATGCCGAGCAGAGCTTTCTCCTTGTGCCAGATCCCTGTAGCAGCAGCAGTCAGTTCCCTAGCCCTCCAAGCTGGACCGCCAGTGCAGCCCAGCAGATCCCAGTTTGCAACAGACAGGACCATTAGCCCCCAGTGAAGCAAGAAAACAGAGGCTATGCAAGACAGGCAGTGACTAGTTGAAATGCCAACTATTGTTTTTTCTTTCCCTCCCTCCCTTTCTTTTTGCACCAGATACACTGTTTACTCTTAACTCTACAAATACAGTTGTCTTAAGAGCCAAGAGCCGAACCTTTCCACCTAGAAATAATAAAACAGTTGTCTGGTTTTAGGCAACCTGCTATATATAGCTCCTTGTGGTCTAGTAGTTGTGACTTATTCAGACTGTTTACATTAGGATCGGAGAAGGGGCCCTGCAGCTTGGTGGCCTGCCACTGCTGTCTGTACCCCCTTGACTCATAAAGAGCCTTTTGACAGAGGACTTGGGACAAGGTATTCCCTGCCAGGGATGCTTTTACCACAGTGAAGTGCTGTGGCATCAAGTGGGGTGATGATGTGTGATTAAAACAGTACCAAAGCGCATTCTTCAAAGTGTATGTGCCTGTTCCCCGCGAGGCCCAAGTACAGAATGCAGTAAAGCAGCCTCATGAAAGCAAACAGTCTGTTTCTGACTGGTCTCTAGAGACCTGCGTCCCACACTGGGGACTAAGCTCGAGACAGGTGTTTGCTTGAGTGCTGTCCTGGGGTAGAGAAGCCCCTGGGATGAAAAGCCTCACCTTGGTCTTCAGAATGAGTGGGAAGGCCCTGGGGTAGGGATCTACACAGGGAACAAGTACACCTTTTGATGTGTTCTAGTGGGCAGCATTTACAGTTTCCTGACATCTTGTGATCATTCCTACTTCTCTGAAGACATGAGTTGGAGTAAAGAATGACTGTGGGATGGATGCCACTGTCCTTGCACTAAGAAATGTGGTTGTTAAAAATATTCTTCTTTGGAACCATTGCTCAGAAAGTCATAAAAATACCTTTGATAGGAGTTTCACTTAAACTCAGAAAACAAGCCTGGAATACTATGCCAGTACATGCAGGATCTCTAAAGTCCCTCTGTCCAAGGCCTTGAAGGGAGAGTGATTACAGTGAACATGCAGCCCGCTGGAGACTTGAAAACAGTACTTGATCCCTATAGTAGCAAGACGTTCTGCACACTGTTAATTCCCTTGTAAGTAGGTATGGTGGATGGCCTCCTTTACAGATGGGAACTCTGGCTCTACCAGTTCAGAGCCTAGGTGCTGGGCCCTCTGACTCCAAAGCTGCTGGTTACCTCTTCTGCTGTGGTCTCAGCTAACCTTGCAGTACAAACCTCTACCACTGTCCTTGGCCAACAGTGTAGTTATGGTTGCTGTCAGGACTGGAACTGGCTGGGCGGTGACCAGGCTGTCTTCCCCCTTTACCCACTGTACTATGAGATTCTGAGTTAATTCTGGGTGTGAGCACAATCTACTCCTCCATCTGTCAGGTCTCCCATAGCCTCACTAGTGTCTCGGGTGACTAGACAGCTCAGTTTGGGAAGATTGAAGGACACATGTAATTGAAGCTGAAAGTTAAGAGTGATCCCAGCATTGAGTTTGCAGAGGCAGGAACATCAGGAGTTCAAGGCCATCCTTGGCTGTATAGTTTGAGGCTGTCCTGTTACAGGAAACCCTGTCAGAAAGTACAAAGAAAAAAGATGAAAAACATGACCTGCCACAACAGTTTATCAAGTCTTGAGTAGTAGCAGAATTGGGGTACTACATAGTGGCTTCCTGCTTGGGGTTCAGCTGCAACATTTTGTTACATATACAGAAGAGGCTCATGCTTGAACTCTGCTCTTGATGAAAGCAGCCTAAGAAACCAAAGTAAGGAATTCAGAATGATCAGAAAGTTAGCAAGAGGAGGCAACCAGCATGTCAACAGAGAAGGTGGTGCTTAGCCCAGACAAGTGTGCCCTCTTTGGAGTTCCGTGGGGGTGCAAAGAGCAGAGCTGTAACTGAAGGACAGGCTACACAGTCCAATGTAGCATAACCAATAAAACTGCCACAACAAAGGATGGGGCTCTCCTTCAGAGAGTCAGCTCCTTCACTGGGGAGACTGCAAGAAACTAGGTTGGAACAGTGTGTGTGTGTGTGTGTGTGTGTGTGTAGGCAGGTAGGTAGGTAGGTATGTTGGTTGGTCCATTCTTGAGAATATGTGAATGGAAACCTAGGAAGCAGGGGTTCCTAGGAGGTTCTCCAGAAGTGGAACCTGGTGGGTTGACTGTGACTTGTCAGGGTGGCTTCTCCTAATAAAGGAAAGATGGATTGCTCTGGAACTTCTGAAAGTCCAATCTAGCAAGTCGACCACAAATGCCCTCAATGTGCCTGCTGCTGTTGCTGTGGGCCACGGCATTACCTCTGTCAGGTGTGTGAACGGGCTACTCACCTGGTGTGGCCTGTGTAGTGATGGTACATGCATGTGTTATCTGAGTATGATCACAGCTGGGCGTAACTGGCTACTTGCACAAATCTGTGAAGTTGAGTTCAATACTATGCAAATGGTTGGGAGCTAGATTTGGGGAGTCTGCCTTGCTGAGAATCAAGAAGCATTCTTGGACCCATCTGCTGCCCTGATCTGAAGTAGCCAACCCCAGGGAAGAAGTCTTAGGCCCCACACTACACCCTGGTGGACTTCTCCAGATGCTCTTGAAGCAGGTGGGCACACACTAAGAATGCAGCAGCCCCAGTCTACCTTGGCCAGTGAACCTTTACTGTGAACCTGGGTGCCCGCCCAGCCCAGATGTTTGTGTTCTTGTCTTCAGCCTGTGTCCTGGATTATGGGACCTTGGGAACTTAACCCCTCACTGCTCTTCTACCAGCCATGATCTCAAAAGGGTGCAATCCATCCATCTTCTTTCACCCTCACAATAGAAATCTTCCTATCCTGCCCTCTGCTTTGCTACACTGCCTCTTGCTGGCTATAGCCCACTTAACTCCAAGGCTTTCCATGCTACTCCTGCCTCAACACTTATTGGAGCTGTTGCAAGTGCATCACATCAGGTGGGTTTCTTATGGGATGCAAGTATCAGTGGAAAGTTTTCCTTAGTGATACCACCGCTGTGGCCCTGGCCTGGCTTCCAAGAAGAATGCTTAGCACCCGCTGTATTGCTCTATGCACCACTCTTTATTGCTGCTGGGCCAGCCACCCAGGTGCAGCCTGGCCGGGCGCGGAGGCGAGGTCCTGCCGAGCTCCACATGCTGACCACGGAGTGAGATGGAGTCCAAACCCCCTCTCTTCAGGCCTGGGCACAGTCCAGGGCACAGAGCCCCTGGGGAGGGCGGTGCGAGGCTCTACTCTTTGGAGTCGCTGGCCGGGGTCTCCTGACAGAACTCATCCATGAACTCGAGGAAGCGGCCAAATTTGGGCTGGCTCGCGCTCAGCGCGCGGCGGGTGGGCGGCCTAGGCGGCGGGCTGGCTGTGAACACAGTCCGCAGCGAGCTGCGTACCAACTGCCTGTAGCGTGAGCGGAACTCCTTGAGCAGCCGCTTGGCCTCCCGGTACTGCTTCTGGTTCACCAGGCGCTGCTGTGCGCGCCGCTGCAGCACAGCACCTGCAGGGACGAGAGGGAACAGCACCAGGCTCGCCCTGTTACCCTGGCCCAGAGATGCACAAAGTATATTGGTGGGTGGAAACAGTACAGCCCTGACAGCAGGTAGTCATGTCTTAGTTCATAACCCGGAAGTGGGAGCCTCCTGCCTGCCTGCGCTGCACACACAGTAGACGTTTCGAAAATTCCCGCTTCCCACAGCCTCCCTGCTTCCCGTGCTCCCTACTAGCTTCACACCCAGTCTTCCCTGCTAGACACCAGCCCTGGTGGGACAGTGGCACCATACCCAGTGGAGCTTCAGTGACGTTCCGAGGGTCCCGCATGCGAATGAGGATGTCATCCAGTAGCTGTGCTCGAGTCTTCCGTGGGGGTGGGATTGGTACCCGCCCAACCTGGCACAAGGTAAGGAGGTCTGTCACTTCATGCACTCACAGTGGCCGGCAGAGGGCAGTAGGGAGTGCTGAAAAAGGGACCTAAGTGTCCCAAGATCTGCACTTGCAGAGACCTCAGAACTCAGGATTAGGGTCAGTGGCCAAGGTGCTTACCCGCTTCTCCTTGGGGATGTAGGGTTTCTGGAAACTGTCCAGCCTGGGCTTGGAGGAACGGCAGACGAGTGGCTGCTTTAGCATGCGATGCAGGGCCTGTGCATTCTTCTGGATACCTATCAGAGAAGGCAGCAACAAGTGTCACCCCTGACCTGCTCAGTGCCCAAGAACGCCATTCCTAGGGCTCCCTAATCTGCTCCCCCCCCCCCCACCTAATGCTTCACCATTCATTGAGTGAAATGTCCCCATGAGTTCAGAGCCCGAAGTGGGAAGACTGGGCCTCAAGGTGATTCCTTAACCTCAGGGGTCACATGACAGGGAAAACTGGCTCCCAGCAGGCTCTTTTGGAGGCACAGATACTGTTGGCACATCAGAGTAATTAGAATCATAGCAGAGAGGGCACTTTCTCTGCTGCCCCAAACCAGGTGGGAAGGGTTGAGGATAGTCTGTCTACTGGGCTTTAACAGTGGCTGGTGAGAGTTCAGGAACCTGGCTTTGTTTGGTCATTAACCCTTTGTGAGCTATTTTCTACTCAGGGCAACTGGGCTAATCCAGCCAGTTTGAAAAAGCCATGGTAGGAGAAGAGAACCAACTCACTCTAATTGTCTTCTGACCATCACACATGAGCCATGGTATACAAGCTCACAAACAAACAAGCAAGCACATTTAAAAAAAAAAAATAAAAGGAAAGAAAAAAAAAAAGAAAGAAAGAAAAAACCATGACCCCAGAGCAGTGAATGACAGCAAATGACAGGGATGCTGCCATGCCCTAAGAAACCCCTCTGACAGACATTCAAATGGAGGGCAGCACCAATCTTGGCCCAGCATGGCCTGCTCTGGGCTGAGGGGATGCCCCTGGGCCTGACGTACCCTTTGGTTCCACAAAGGCCGGATCAGGTTTGGCTGTGAGCAGCTCCTCATAGCCGGCGTACTTGTTGACCATAGTGTCAGAGGGCTGTCTCCTCCGAGTCCTCTTTGTCTCTCTGGGTGCAGTTAATGGTCTCCTTTGCTCACTCTCCTTTGCCTCTAACTTTTCCCTGTAGACTGTGGAGGGTGGCACCTCATTCACCTGTGCCAGGAAGAAAACACATTTGATCCCTGCAGAGTCCCAGCATGGGCCCTGATACAGGGAGGGCTTAGGCACAGAGGGGGTCAACAGAATAGGTAATGTGTGCTAACTGGAGAAGGCATGCCAATCCAGGCAATCTCAGAGGCGGCCCAAAGCCAGCCAGAAAACACCATAGGAAGTGATTCCTTCATCTGGCCAAGTCTTGGGCACACAGGAGAGCTGTTCCCAGACAAAACAGAGGGCTTGACTACAAGCTGTGACAAAGGATGCAGCTTCAGTAGTCACGGAACAGCATAACACATAAAAAAGTAATGTAACAGGTGACTAGAGTGCTGAGCAGGGACCAGACGGAGACCTTCGAATGCCATGCTGAGGGTGTTTGTTTTGTTTTGTATCCTTTATTCTTGCTTTGAGGTAAGCCAGGAACAGTTTGGCCTACCGGAATGGTTTTTATACAATACAGGAAGACCTATTCCATGTAGGGATGTTCTGGGGGACCCTGCCAACTCTCCTAGCCTTATGGAGATTGAACAGTTCTTATATGAAATACCCAGGGGAAGAATGTTTGTTTTAGAATATTTACATGACAAGGTAAGATGCCTTAGCATGGACCCCAAGACTACATGTAAAACTTGTTTTATGTATATTTTATGTACATAGCCCAAGGTAATTTCATATATCTTAAGTGATTTTATGCATGAAACACAATTTCATGATGTGGAATTTTCCTCTTGTGGGCATGTTGGCACATAAACATTTTTCAGAATTCAGAGCATTTGGGATTTGAATCATTCTGATTGGGGATGCTCAGTCTGTATTTCCTTTCTCTGCACCAGTGGTTCTCAGCCTTCCTAATGCTGTGGCCTTTAACACAGTTACTTGTGTTGTGGTGACCTCCCCCTCCCCCCAAGGATAAAATTATTTTTGTAGCTATTTTTGCTACTGTCTGGATTATAATGTAAATATCTGTGCTTTCTGGTGGTCTTAGGTGACCCCTGTGAAAGGGTTGTTCAACCCCAAAGGGGTCATGACCCACTTGAGAACCCATTGCTCTACACACTGCTGTACTCACACCTAAACTTTCCATTTTAATTTCTCCCCCTGCACCGCATTTCCTGTTCCCTCTGCCCATATCTCCACCTTGTTCACATCTCCGTGGCCTGGGAAGTGTAGCTCATTCGACCCTTTCCCCTGCCCTTCTGGTTTAGAACAGAGGCAGGCTTCCTCAGGTCTTTCCCCTGGGTTCCCCCAGTCTTGGCACACAGGGCAAGTCTGCTCCTGTCGGCTTTCCCATTAGACCATAAGCACCTCTGAGGTGGCACCTGTATCTGAGCCATCTTTGTTCCTAGGACCCAGGGTGGCATGAAAAGTGAGGTGACTTTTAGCAAAGGCATGAGTAGTTACAAGACTCTGCAAACTGGCCAACACCATATCCTAGTGACATCTGAGATGCTGTTTGTGCCATAGGACTACTAGTGTCCTGTGTTGCCCCTGATCAGAGGGTGCTTGAGAGCTGCCCAGAGAGGTTTCCCTGCCTGGCCTGGGCAGTCTATAGCAGCACAGGTAGCTCAGTGCAGGAACGGGGGCGGGGGGGGGGCACCACAGCCAGGGGTAGAGTCAGGTACCTGGGTCAGGAAGATGGACTCCGTACTCTTGGCGTCTTCGTCTGATGGGTGCTCTGGGCTCAAGAGGTCAGTTGTATGGCTTGGTTGGGACACGGGCTCACTGTGGACGGTGGAGTCGGAGCAAATGGGAGGCATTGGCACAAAGGTCCGGTGAGTTAGGGAGGGCCCTTCTGGGCCCTCAGTGGCCAGCAGTGCCTCATGAGAGGTGTTTTCAGTAGCGGGCAGCCCCTCAACTCCTGGCTCTGTCTCCGGAATAAGACTTGAGGAAGGCTTGTCTGTCATGGACAGGTGATGGGGGACCAGAGAATACCTTGGCACCTTGGGGATGTGGGTCTTCACCTGTGTGAGAGAAAGGCTGTATTAGATTTGCTCTCTAGCTAGGAGTGAGTCCTGGGCCCTGCCAGCCTCAGATGAGTTGTATAGTGGGAGTGTGTCTAGGAAGGCCGGAGGGCATCACATGCGCCCTGCCTGCATAGAGGACACAGCTTCCCTGGGTCCCGCCAGGGTAGCTCAGTAGGGGAAGGGCTCCGGCTGCCAGCCTGGAGGACAGGACTGTCCCTCACAAGTTGTTCTCTCACCTCCACATGGGCGCTGCTGCACACATACGAATTTTATAAATCACCCAGGAACAATGAGCCTTTTCCCCAGGTGCGGAGAGGTGAAAGGCCTGGGCCTGGGCCCTCAGCCTGGCCCTGGCCTCACTCTGCTCTTGGTGTCCCTCTTCAGAGTTTACCACAGTGCCTCTCACATTCCTCAAGGGTTCCCACACCATGCTTTTCCTGAGCCAAGTCTCTGGAGCTGTGGAATGACTCACCTGGGGGCCTATCACCATCTTTCCTGCACTGTCCCTGGTCAGGGATTGGGGCAGGCAGCAGGGGGAGCGGGGGCTGGCCTGCCTTGTCTGTACTTAGGAGTGAGCATTCAGGCTGAGACTCAGTTGGATCCCTGGAAGCGGCTTCCTTGTGAACAGGGCAGACTACTCCTCCTGCCCCCACCCCGCCCGTACCGGGATCTGACACCTGAGGAGTAGGAAGGACACTCCTTTCTAAAATAAGTTTCATTTTAAGAAAAAAATTTTTCTTTTTGATATGTGTAGAGTCCATGTTTCGAATGGAAGCCTGAAGGCCATGGATCTTCTTCAAAATCCATGTCACAGGGGGGAAGACAGCATACACTGGGGCTTTAGGACACCAGGAGCCCTTGGCAGCATGGGGAGGGGCAGATGGAGAGCTACTGGAGAAACACGTTCTCAAGCCAGCTTACCCTATTTTCCTAGCCCTCTCCCACACGGTGATTTGACAGTTGGCACGGCATCCCTGCCTCACTGGAGGCCCAACCCCAGCCATTGGTACTAGGCTGGTCTATCTGCCTCTTGTGTTCTCCTCCAGTTTCTCCTCCTGAGCTGGACCTCTTGCCTTTGTGTAGGGAGTTGAGGAGGAAAAGTCCCAGGTCTGCCTGGCCTGCATGTGTAGCTCCACCTCTCAGCACACTGCACACAGACTGCTATCCCAGCTGTCTTCAGGCCTAAGCCATGTTCTGGGGTCAAGTGGCATGTGCACCTAGACACACTCTAGTGCTTTCTCTGTTTCTCACAAGCTAGTACTGTGTTCATTACAACCTCAATTACTCAGGACCTTGAGCAGGAGGAGGAGCTGGATGGGGGGCGGGCACCCTGAACCCAACACTAATTGTATCTGGTGAGCTGGTGCACCTTTCTGAGCCTGTTTTCTTGGGAGAGAGTGTGAGTGCTCATGGTGTGCCGGCCACGGACCACTGTCTCATGGGCCACTGTGAGAGACAGAAGCCTGTACCTAGCATCCAGCTCACAAACATTCCCTCCACTGTGTGCAGGGACATGGTAGATCCTCAGAGTAGGCCGCAGAAACCCTAGGAATGTCCATTTCTGGCTTTAAACCCTGCTCTGCTCCTTTGAGGGCTCGGGCTTGGTTAGACGGAAACAGCCACAGAGCAGATGGCAAAGGACAGATAGGTGTGTCTACATTTGGGGACCAGCAATGCCTGCATTAGGAGACAAGAGCTTTGCACAGATTTTTTTTTAAATTCCTTTAGATCAAGAGGATGATGATCACTAATCCATGGTCCCCAGATATGAGCCTAGGAGCCCCCTAGAATGATAATTCAGCCTGCCTAGGCAGGGGCTGTGTATCTAGTTCTGGAACCCCAGACTGTAACTTGCACGGGGACCTTGTGGGGCTAAGGGCTTGGGCTCTTCAGTAGAGTGTCATGTGTCCTTTCATCCAGCCCACATGAGGCTCCAGAGCGAGGGATCAGTCACTCTAAGGTAAAAACTCTTGCCAAGGTCACACAGCTACAGACAGAGATGGGTCTAACTTCAAGGCTGATTTCTCCCCCACCCCTTCTCTGGCCCTAGTTTCTCTGTAAAATTAGGATGGTTCTTCACTCTCCCTCCTCTTGTTGGGGCTCTCTTGTCTTATCACCCTGCTTACAGCTGTGTCTGACAAGGAAAGATGGGATGGGAGCCAATGAAGAGAGAGGTTCCAGGTTTGTCTGGGGAGGGATGTTCTCGTGCCCAAGTTAGTGTGGATGCTAAAATAGGCTCCCTTTCCCCCGGGGCAGGGTCCTGTTGGAAGGCTTACCTTTCGTGACTCCTTCCGAGGCATCAACATATGGTGTTTAGCTTTTACCAGTTTCCTTCGAACTAAGCGGATGCCCAGGCGCTCCTGGAGGAAGCTCTTTAGCAGTGGTGGGATCCCTGGTGTTGTGAAGGAAAAGAAGACCATTAGCTGGTATCTCCTGGGGCTTACTGTGTGTTTGGCACTGTTCAAATTACTTTGTGTGTGTTAGTGCAATTGTACTTCTCTTTGCAACCCTAGGAAGTGGGTGTCATATTATTCCTATTCTGTAAGCAAGGGAAGTGTCACACAGAGGCTAAAGTGACAAAGTACAGCAAGGCTTAGAACCCTACTGGTGTCACAACAGGCCCAGGACTCTCATACACCTCCAGCTGTTGGGTTTTGGCCAGGAGATAGTGGGCACCACAACAGAGCTGCATTCAGAATGCTGTGCCAACCCCAGATAGAGATGGAAACGAGACCACACAGCCCTGCTCTGCAAGCACGGTGCAGCTTATAGAGCTCAAGTAAGGGCCAGAAAATTCAAAGTCCCCAGCTCCCCATCCTCCAACCCCAAGTGGTCCTGAGCAGTGCAAACCATTGTGAACTTTGGTTTCCACCAAAGTTCTTGAGGTTAATGCCAGTTTGCCATGGCTGCTGTGGGGCAACCAGGTGCTCAGCAATGACAGCTGTGCTCCATTCTCCAGGGTAGAGGAGCCTTCCCTCCCCTTCACATTCCACCCGACTCCCACTCCCCAGCAGCAAGCGGGGGTTCTAGGGCTGACACTGAGCACTGGGTCGGGGGACAGATCTGTGGCCACCATACCTCGTGTGTGAGCTACCAGAGGGTTGTTGTGGAAGACAAGCTCACAGAGAGAGGGGAAGAGAGCTGCTGGCAGGACAGCATCCTCCTTTGCAATCTGGAACAAGTGCGGGAGACACGTTAGTCGATGCTCTCCACCCAGGTGGGAGGTGCTGGCTAGCAAGGGTGGAAAGCTAGCAGGTGAGGATGGGTGTGCAGGAGACACGTTAGTCGGTGCTCTCCACCCAGGTGGGAGATTGGCTGCTAAGGATGGCTGCAGACCAGATGTGGGAGAGGCAGACAGTAGACAATCCCTCCCTTCCACCATTGCCCACTCAGGACCACAATACTTTGCCCTCTTTTCTAAAGATTCTGCCACACTGCTTCATCATTTTGAAATGTTTTTATTATTCTATGTGTACGGGTGTTTGCCTGCATGTATGTCTGTGCACCACATGTGTGCAGTGTCTCAGAGGCCAGAAGATGGGGCTGAATCTTCCTGGAACTGGAGTTTTACAGTTGTTGTGAGCTGCCACATGGGTGCTCTTAACACCTGAACCATCTCCCCAGCCTGTTGCTGCTTCTTTTAGAGTTAAAAATTTCCCTCTTATCCACACTGGACATAAGAGTATCAAGGATACTGGTGGCCAAATAATCAGTAGCACGTGTCGCAAGGAGCCTTGAGGGGTAGGCATAGCACTAGCTTTGTGTATGTCTGGTTTTCCTCATGGAAAACCTGTGCACTCCAGCATTCCATCAGCAGCACTCCTGGGCACTCCTTTCCATCAGCTGTAAGCACCCATGGATGAGTGGAGAGGGCCAGAGGGCAGGGATCCACTTACAAAAGGAATAAAGCTGAGCCGTGGCAAGGGATACCTCATGGCTGGCTGGAGCCAGGGGCTACGGTGCCCTTGTGCACTTAGCCTGCAAGTGGTCAGGCCAGACTGAATGACAAAAATTACACAAGCATTGTTGAGCAGAGTAGCTAGAACATGGGGACAGCAGTGGGGTGGAATCAGGGCCCCTGGTATCAGAGGAGCCCAGAGTGAGGCTGGAGGCAGAGGCACAGAAAGTACAGGGTTGGGAGGGGAAGGCAGACTTCAGTTTGGCTGCTGGATTCTCACTGGACTGCACCTGTAGAAATGACTTCCCTCATGGTTGTTCATTCAGTCAGCCCAGTACTTGGTTCTCTACAGCACAGGCCACTAAAGCTTCTTGTGAAAAGCCAGGAATTAAGTGTTGGAACAGCATCTCTGCTCCTGACTCAGCCCTGGGAAGTTCATACGCAAATAGCTGGTGTGTTTCTTTTCCAGTAAAATTTCATTTATGGGTTCTGGAATTTGATTTTGTATAATTTTAACACATGAAACACTATCCTTGTTGGATGTTCCTGAAAACATAAAGGTCACTCAGTCCAGTGGCTACGCCAAGCCTTTTGCTTACTCGCATTTCAATGGGTTGCCATCATTCTCCTTTGTGTTCATATTGCCTTTCCAGAGCTAAGTAGCTCCAACAGACCATGCAACAGATAAATCCAACCGATATATTGCCTCTTTACCTAAAACAAATTGCTGGGCTTGGGGATGTGATTCAGTGGTAGAATGCATACCTCACATGCTGAAAATATGTTACAAAAGAGCTCATGGCCCTATGTGCTAGAGTCCAGAGAAGGAGACTCAAGTCTCCAGAGTGGCCTGTGCTGTGTGTAATGGTGGCCCAGGGTGCTCAAGCCTCTGAGCAAACTAGGCAATGAGAGACAAGCACTATAAAAGGGGAGTGGAAATATTAATTAACTCAGTCAAGACGCAAGATCCTGTTTATAATTAAAATACAAAGGAAGCTAAGGGGCACCCAGGAAGTGTGAGTGAGTGTGTGTGTGTGTGTCTGTCTGTGTGTGTGTCTGTCTGTCTGTGTGAGTGTGTGTGTGTGTGTCTGTCTGTGTGTGTGCGTGTGTGTCTGTGTGTGTGCGTGTGTGTCTGTGTGTGTATGTCTGTGTGTGTGTATGTGTTGAGTGTGTGAGTGTGTCTGCGTGTCTGTGTGTGTCTGTGTGTGTGTGAGTGTGTGTGAGTGTGTGTGTGAGTGTGTGTGCGTGTGTGTATGTGTGTTGAGTGTGTGTGTGTGTCTGTGTGAGTGTGTGTGTGTGCGTGTGTGAGTATGTGTGTGTTGAGTGTGTGTGTGTGTGTGATATGTTCTTTGATGCCAAGCCCTAGATGAAAGGCATGAACTCAGGGTTCTGGCTGACCGGCAAGCAGAATCTGGCCCCAGGCTAGCTGCTCCCTATGGGTTGAGTCAAATGACCTCAGGGACAGAGTCGGGTTCTAGTGATAACCTGCCCAATCTTACTGCATTAACAATGACATAATAATCAAATCTATGGGCTAAATAAATATTGGTCAAAGTTTGAGTTAAAGTGGCTGTTTTGCTTTTGACACAATACTTCCATGTGAACATCTTAGGGAGAGAAGTTCTATTTGGAGGTACACTTGTACCTCTGGTAAACCAAACACTAATTTCAGCACATTTAGCTGTGCCTGTGGTATACTACAAGCACACGTGTAAGTAAAACAGAGCCTAGCATACAAACAAGATGTAGCCTGGTGGTCGGTAACAGGTAACTGACACTACAGCACTGGGGGTAAGTGTCACATAGAGAGATGACAGTCGTGGTGAGGATACAAGATAGAAGGACCTGCTACCCCAACAAGAGCAAGCTGGGCAAGCCACATCCCAACTGTGCTGAAGCTGGCTGAGAACTCTAGTCTCAGAGAAGCTCCAGGACCTCTCTGGAAAGCAGGGCATCTATAGTGTGAGTGGACACTGGCTCACCTGTGGTCCGTGCCAGGGCTACACATGCCTTAAGGAAGAATCAACTAGAGATTTAATGGACTGTTAAAAGTCCGGCTGTGGCTCCTGAGGGGTGTGTTAGAGAGTGTGGGTGTGAGAGGACCGCAGAAAGCTTCGTCATAGCACAGCACTGTGTGGTATAATGTGTGCCTGGAGAACAGCTGCCCTTGCAGGAGAGGCAGTGACTGCCCACTGCCCAGAAGGAACAGCCACCCCCAGGCATGGCACTTGTGAGAGGGAGCACCTGCTACGGAGGTGGAGTAGGAAAGCACCTGGGTCCTGCGCAGTAGAGACTCCTGCTGCCATAGAAGCAGCAGTGGCGGGACCATGAGAAGAGCTGTCTTGGAGAGGCAGGGCCACAGTGCTGCCCAAGACTGGGGTTGGGGTCCACCCTGGGTCTCTACCTTGGGCTGGCAAGTGCCAAGGCACAAGCCACAGCAGTCCACTGGGAGGAATGCTAGGGGGATTAACCAGAGATGCAGGGACCTGGGGGGAGGGGGGCAGCTGCAGATGGGAACAGCAGAGAACCACCCTCATGGCCCAGCAAAGATCCGTTCTCTGTGGTCTGGAGGATGTGCCTCAGTATGGACGACACAGGCTGCAAACAGACAATGTGAAGAGGAAGCATTCGAATGTGGTTCAGCCATGTTAGAATCAGATGAGGACAGTGATGCAAGGTGTATCAGAAGCAAAGGGCGGTGATTCACAATTTAAAAGAGGACCAGATATTAGGTGGATGTGTGCCAGATGCAGCTGTCTGCTAACAGACTTCAAAATGACAGAACTAATGGTAGAAAAAGAACAAAACTATAGCCACCAGTGGACTTTTTTATGGTATGGGTGCCCCTGCCTGTGCATGTGTGTGTGTGGAGGCCAGATGTTGGCATCTGGTGTTTTCCTTTATTGCTCCCCGCCTTATTGTTTTGAGATAGGGTCACTCTTTGAACCTGGACTTGTTCTGGCTGGCCTGGCTGGCCAGCAAGGCCCTAGGGTCCACCTGCATCTGCTTCTCTCTAGCACCTGGGTTAAAGGCATGTATTTCCACAGCTGGCTTTTAAGTGAGTGCTGGGGATTTGAACTCTGGTCCTCATGCTTGTATAGCAAGCAACTTACTCACTGAATCATCTCCCCAGATCCATGAGTAGATATCTAAAAACACTGTTTTCAGTAGCCGATAAGCAAGAGTACAGAGGATAGTAGCAACACTGCCAATATCTTGACTGGCACTCATCAATACTGTCTGCACAACTGCAGACACCTGTTGCTTTCAGCGCTCGTGGAACAGTCATCGGTTTTAGTGTGAACCTCAAAACAAGTTTGAATAGACTTTAAAAGAAAGAAATCTCACAAATCATGTTTAACTGGCAAGAGAAATGATGAGTAATCAACAAATCTAAGACACCTAGGAGAATCCTATGATTTGGAAACTAACCAACTGATGCCCAAGGAATCTACATGCCAAAGACAAAAAAAAAAAAAAAAAAAAAAAAATCAGGAAAAATTAAAAATAATACTTCAGCTGAATGGAAACCATGGGCTGGGCTGTAGCTCAGCGGGTAAACGCATGCTTAATGTGCATGAGAGCTTGGGTTTGTTCTCCAGTCCCAAAAAATAAACAACCGCGGGGCTACAGAAAATCAAACAAGAGCTGGATAGTAGCCATAGGAGAAGCAGCAGAGGTCAGACACAGGGACTGTTCAGTGTGTTGGGCCCCCCACCTCCCTTCACCTGATGGAACTCAATGATTCAGATCTAAGCCTAGACATCACTTTTTCAGACCCAGCATCCTGCACTTAACTTGACAATGCTGTGTGTTTCTTCATAGTACCAAACATGCTTACACTGTGACTGCCTGTCCAGGGTCAATCTCCTCAGCTGACTAGCTCTCAAAGACCATGGCTTTTTTCTTTTACACAGTGTCTCTTGCTCAGGCTAACGTCAGACTCACCAGGCGGCTGACCTTGATTGTGATGCCACTCCTCCCACACGGTGGTTTTACAGGGACATGCCACCATACCTACTTTATGCCATACTGGCCATCACACATGCTGAGCAAGCGCTGTATCAAGCGAGTTACAGCCCGGTGTGGAGCTCTGTCTTCTCACACCCCTACTCCTTCCTAGTGCCTAGCACGGAGGTTAGTACATGGCAAGTGCCAAATAATCTTCCATACCTTGAGGACCAGGACCACACACTTGTATGCAGGGGAGAAACTGCTGGGCCAGAACGGTTCACATCCCTTCCTCACATCCATGCACCAAGGAAAGAGCAAAAGCAGTTACCTTGTTGTAGGCCAGGCTAAGGTATCTCAGCTCTGGGAAAGGTGGGGCCAGCGTCTGGTTCCTTGCTTTCAGTGACTTCACAGGGAGAATCTCAAATATGGGAGGAAGTGAACATATCTTGGATGTCTTAGAAGAGAAAAAAAAATGTCAGAGTCAAAATGTCACAATGATTCCAAAAAAAAAAAAAAAAAAAAAAAAAAAAAAATGAGGCTGGCAACAGCCAATTGCTCATTTTACTGGGTGTGGTAAGAAGGTCAAAGAGACATCTGGGGTCATAAAGGCCAGAATTCTGACTCTGGGGGGGTCACAGGAGCTAACTCTCTAGTATTCAAAGTTCCAGTTTTAAGTTCTCTGGGGTCACAGAATACTCCAGGAGTGCTGCAGACACCAGAGGCTCCTGTCCCTCCAGGACAGGTCTGGGTGCTGGGAGTTCCCTGTTCAGTTCCCTCCTGCCCCCCTCTTCTGGCCAAGGTGATTGGTTCATTGGTTGATTGATTGATTGATTGTCTTTATCAATGTAAATACCTCTTCTACCTTCTGGGGGAATTTCAGCTTATCTACACAGGGGGGTGCCTCGGGGCTGGAGCTGGAGGGACTCCCAGACTTATAGCTAGTTGGTCATGGTGTGGAGAACTTACTGTTTCCCCTCTCCTGCATGACTGGTACCTAAAGCGAGGGCAGTTTTCTTAGGAGCTATACCCCCAAACTTGACCTTAACCTCTGGGCCGGTTAGTGTAAGCACTAGTGCTTTAATGCCATCCTGCTCCCCCCCACCCCGAGTTTGCTCTGACAATAGAATGTGCCCAATGCAACACATTCGAATCTCGAGTTCTTCCACAATCGCTTGCTGTCTTGAGACCTGATACTGCCCTGTGGTTCAGGCCAGGATGAAAAGATGATGTGGAGAGGCCAGGGCACACCATATACATCCTTTGAAGCTTAGCTCCAGCTGGCCTGCAAAACCCGCAGAACCACCTTGCTAGCTCCAGTCACTCTGGGAAGTAATCAGCTGAACTGAGATCAGTCAGTGCTTGTTAGCTCTGTGATGCAGCTGTAGTGAACTGGTACGGTTCCCCACACGGCCGTATCTGTGAGGAGATGGCTCATCTCTCAAGGGTATGGGCTGGCTAGGAATGAAGATGCACATCTGGTTGCAAATGGATGCATCAATATTTAGTCCACACATATCAGTCTCTATGAGCTTGGTTAGTGAGCTCTGCCCTGAAACAAAACTGGTCTTCTCTGTTGACAAAACCAAATGACAGTAAGACTAAGATCTGGGCAGCAGTGTAACCAGCAGAAAATCTTCTCTTCTGTGAGAGGGCTCTGTCCCAGCTTTATCACCTAAGGCAGCCACTGTCACAACCCTCTGCTGAATAGGGTCTGAAGGCAGGGGACAATGTCTGTGGACCAATAAGGTCAGGGCCTGCTCAGCTCTCCTGCCGCATCCCCAGTGGTCAGCATAGGGCTGACTCATAGTAGGTGCTCAGCAAAGACATGTTCACTTAGTGTGACCTAGAAAAATGTCTCTTGTGGCTCTGTTAACTTGTTACTATCTCCAACTATTGAAATACAACTATTTATAAGACTTTTCGCTATATCAGGTGAAAAAGAATCCAGATGAGGCTAGAAGTGTAGCTTGGCGGGGCATTGGTGGTACACACCTTTAATCCCAGTACTTGGGAGGCAGAGGCAGGCAGATCTCTATGAGTTCGAGACCAGCCTGATCTACAAGAGCTAGTTCCAGGACAGCCTCCAAAGCCACAGAGAAACCCTGTCTAGAAAAAAAACCAAAAAATAAAATAAAATAAAATAAAATAAAATAAAAAGTGTAGCTCAGAGGACAGTTAGTATAGGTCTTGGGTTCAATCCCTACATGGACAAGGAACAAACAAACAAACAAATATGAAGTAGCAATTTTTCCTACCTCTGAGGTTGAAAATCCAGGGTAAGATGAGAATACAACCTCTGAAACAACAGAGACAGAGGAAAGGCTGGTAAGAATATTGACCTCAGAGGGGTCAAGGCTGGGCATCTTCCCCACTGTGCTCAGGTGCCTCCCACACAGGTTCCAGTGCTAACTCGGAAAAGGATCCCATTAGGATAAAACCCAACTCCTTCGCCAGGCTGCTGAGGCCCTCGAGATTGGTCTCCTCCCTACGTCTCCCATCGTATGCCATGTCTTCCATTTCAGCTCATGCTCCCCTTCTGCTCACTCGGTGTTCAGTCTCATGGACCTTCATCCTAACTTTGCAACATGCTTTTTAGCTCGGTGCTGCTGGGGAGCCTGTGTGGAGTAGGAAGCTAACCAGCTGTCTCATAAAAGACATCCCGTCTGAGGAATTGAGAACAGCTGTAGGGGAAGAGTTCATCCTTGGGGCCGGTGGACTGAGATGAGCCTATCAATAGCTGAGTTTAACCTAGGGACCGAGGCAGGGCACCTGCAGGACTGCATCCTGTGTAGGCAGCACTCTCCTTCACTGGTGCCTGGGCCCTTCCCTCGTGTCCCTGATATGATGAGAAAGGTCACATGAAAACAAACACATTGAGCCGTTCTCTAGGTGGTAATCTGGCAGGGACTGGGAAAGGCATATGCAGCCAACAGCCAGTCTGTCATGGAATGTCAAGGAGGGGGCTGCCGTGAGAATGACTGACAGCAGGGAAGGAGAGGGGGGGGTGTCCCTTGCTTGTGGTGTACATGGAGTAAATAAGAGCAGTGGGAAAGGAAAATGCAGTGATGTTAATGAACCCAACGACATAATGCTGAGTGGAAGAAAGGGGGCACAAAGTACATGCTGTATGGTTTTGGACATGAACTCCAGACTGGAGTGGTTACTCTTGGAGGAGGTACTTATTGCAAGGGTTCCACTGGGATACTAGGAAGGTTCTGGATTGATGGGTAAAGAGTGAATCTAAAACATCAAGCACTACACAAGAGTTCTGTTCTCTACCTGCTGTAAGTTATTTTCCCAGTTTGAACATCAAACAGACAGGTGGTAGATACATAACCAGCTCAGCGAGACTGGAACAGAGTATGCCCAACTCAGACGTGTGCTGCTCTATTACCCTGCTTGGTTTTACAACAAGGTAACAAGTTTCTCCTTTCTGCCTTGGGAGGATGCCATGTGGATGTGACTCTTGGAACTGTTGAACCATCTGGAGAACCTAGTAGGAACCAGCCTAACAGGACAAGCAGGCAGGCTAGGAGGATGGAAAGACCTGGAGCTCTTGAGGACATGGGTATACCACAGGCTTTCCTGACTTCTGAGTTTCTTAACATATGGGATTTACGAAAATGACCCACTTTTAGTTGGATCGGGAAAGCATCTCACCTGATGGAACTGGTTAAGAAGTCTAAGCAGTTCATTTAGAATACTGGAGCTCCCAGAATCAACAACCCCCAAAGCCCATACTCCCTAATGGAGCAAGCATGGGGAACAGAGGGCGTGGCTCACCTGTGCGGTCAACATCCTTCTTCATGGGCAGTACAGTATAATTTGGTTGCTCATCTGGAGTCTCAAATATCCACGTCTGGGGCTGTAGCTCTTTCTGGGGATTCGGCCCCTCTGTAACCCAGTCCCCCGATCCATCACGGAGCTGAACCTGTTGTAGGTACGGGATCCGGAAAATCTTGTTTTGGTCCAGGCTCAATTTCTTCAGTCTTCAATTAAGGAAAGTAAATTCAGAATCACAGCAGTGATGTTACCTCTGGGGTGTTGCTGAGCAAGCTGGGGTACGTACACACATGGGTTAGGCTTGGACATGGACAACTGTTGCATAACCTTGAGATGCAGGGGGATTTACTTTCTCTGAGGCTCAATGGCCTTACCTTTAATGGGAATAAGTTTATTAATCTTTAAAGCTCTATGAAGACTAAATGAGACAATATGTAAATAACTGGGCACAAAGTAGTATTCAGTTAAATAGTAACTGAATTCAAAGGAAATATTCTAAAGATCTTTGTCAAATATGCAGAACTTGGCAGAGGAAGCTCTCTGTGCTTGTGTGTGTGTGTGTGTGTGTGTGTGTGTGTGTGTGTGCATGTGTGTAGGTGGGTGGGAGTTCCTGTCTTCTTTTCAAGATCAGGGTCTATCCTGGGGAATGGCTAGTCCAACACATTACCAGAAATAACCTTAGCGATGTTGCATTTCTCTGGCAAGCTAAGCTCAGAGACAGACTGCCTTACCCAAGGCCACACAGCAGAGCTACATGGTAGAGTAGGGACTTCCCCCTAGGCTGTGTAGACTGAATGCACCACTCAGAGTGTGAACCCTGCTGGGGTCAGGGATGGTGCAGAGGGGGGCTGTGACATTACCTCCTGAGCCCAGCCAGGCTGGCAAAGCAGCTGGGATTGGACAGTTTGTTGTCATCCAGCATCAGGGTCTCCAGTGCTGGGAACCTCAGGATGTACTTCCTGGTCATCAGTGGTGTCATGGACGCCTCCCTGCAGGTACAGATATCTTAGGTACTGATGAAGGTAGAAAATGAGAGCCACTATCCCCAGGAAGAAGGAGAGGACAAAGAGCTGGCCAGGAGAATTAACCAGCTTCAAAACTTCCCCAGTATCTATTGGAGGTCCCCATAGAGATGAGCAGCAGGTATAATTCCCACCTGCTGATCTCTCCCCCAAATCCTGCTTGTCCACACAGGCCACTGCATGGAGAAAGTTTCACTGACATTGGGCTGGGCTGGGGAGGTAGGGTCACCCACTGTGCTGATGGTCAACACCAGGGTGAATGCAGCACAGCCAGATTGTAGAGATAATGCTGCAGAAGGTACACTGTACACTGGCCAAAGGTAGACTCCTGGGTATCCTTTGTCGCCACCTTGAAGATTGGTTACCATGGGAACAATATACTCTTGGCTTGCACCATGGCAGTGCCCTCAAGGTTTCCTTGAAGAATTCCCAAAACACCTAAGAGGGATTTAAGAGGCTGAGGTTGTGATGTGCACAGGTGGGCAGGAAGTGGTGGCATTTTAGGTGTGACTGTTAATATGACCTCATGTTTTCAGGTACATGAGGCCTAGGTTGCTCTAAAGACACATGGGCAGATGACTCATCACAGTTTCATCCCTCCCTACACATCCCATCTTATCCATACAAAATAGAAACACCTGTGACACACACAAACACATTCCATGCATGAGCTATAAGCACACAGGCAAGAGGTAAGGTGAACAGCATTTTCCAAAGCCTACTTCATTCCTGCATGGTGATAAGGGACTTCAGGCATTCTCTGAGAATACCAGTGGAAGAGGTATTGTCCATCTGCTTTTCAATCTGGCTGCTCAGCAACTTGCCCAAAGTCTCACAGCTACAGAGTGGCAGAACCCAAACTAGAGCTTAGTCCTTCCCGATTCCTAAGCCCAGACATTTCCCACCACTGCCTCCTCTTCTGGTCACATCTGGATTAGAGGGTGACCAGATGAAAAGGCCATTGCTGCCTGGTCTAGACTGAGCTTGGCAGAGGTAGATGAATTAAAAAATAGATACAAAGTTGGCATGGGTCTGAGAAGAGTTTGAAAAGGGGGTGGATGAGGTCCAAATGTACTGTACAAAATTCTGAGGACTAATGGAAAATGCAGACACTGGGTCATACACATTACCTTAAGGTAGGCATGTTTCACAGGTGGATCAGGAATTTCCTTAGCAGGTACTTAGTTGCCAGGTACTGGCAGAAAGGGGACACTCTCCTCCTTTCGAGGCATTTCCCGTCTCATGGAAGAGGCATGAGACACTGCCCACAATAAGACAACTGCTACAACTGAAGTAGGTGGAGGGGAGGGGCTCAGAAAAGGAAATGATTAAGTAGAGTAGTAAAGAAGGAGAGGGATCCTGTCATGATCTTAACCTCATGAAAGAGGAAAGCAATACAGGGAGGAATCATCTATATATCTCTCTGGGCAGCAGTTTCCTACAGTGGCGTCCAGAGACACCCACTGTCATCTGGGAGGGTACACGGGCAGCGTCACAGAGAGGAGTGGGTACAGAGTGAATTCTGGGCTGTTCTCCAGTCCTCGGATCTACAGTCTTTGCATAGGTCCTGTCCATCTCTAAGGTACAGTTGTGAGATTCCTGGGTGTTCTTATGATGAAGTCTCCGCCCTTTGGGGATTACTGAAGAACTGCCAGCCTTCTACTGATGATCACTGTGTCTGACTGACCAAGGGGCGGGGCAGATAGTTTTAGAAGGGCACTGGCCACAGAGGGGCCTTTTCTTTTCCTAGAAAGACTTTTTGCACTCACTGAATCTGAGTCTCTACTTTACCGGATACTCAGGAAGGCACACAGCTCTTTATTCTACCCCAGCAAGGCAACGCACACCGGGAGTCAAGCCTTCACACATCCCTCTTAAGCACTGTCACAGTGACGTGGTTCTGTTCATTTCTGTGACAGTAATACTACCCTGCCTTCTTAAAGTCTGCCCTAGAGAAAATAGGGATTATTTTTCTTTGTCTATAAAATAGATGTCTTAAAAGAAGGGCAAGAGCTAGTGAGATGGCTTAGCAGGCAAATGCTTCTGTCACCAAGCCTGGCTGTCCAAGTTTGATTCCTGGAACCCACAAAGTAGGAGAGAGCCAACTTCCACAAGATGCTCTCCACACATGAGCTAGGGCATGTGCATTCAAAGTAAATCGATCCAAAGAACCCCACAATTATGAATGAAGCTGGGGGGGGGGTGTGTCATGGGACCTAGCAGGAAAAGCCAGTCGCAGCTGTAGTTGTCCTGCAGATCCCAGTCTGGCCAGATGAAATTCCTGAAGAGGTAGTTTATCAGGGATGAAAAAGCTGAACTTCCCAGATCTTCATGCTAGAAATGTCTTTGTATTGCCTGGGAAAATGGTTCACTATCTTTTAAAATAGTATAGGTAAATATCTTTTAGACGCTAAGTGCACATCTGGAGATTGGATTCAGCCACAAGAATGCATGCTTCTTAGCAGACACCTGGGCCCCTGCATTGGGAGCTCAGAGCTCTAGCTTAGGAAGGGCTCCTGCTGTGCTTGAGTTTGACTACTAGTGCTGAGCCCAGATCCTCTAGACATACAGTACAGGTGATTCCTTTTACTTTATGTCAAGAGTCCTGAAGCTCTCAAAGCACAATGATTTCAATTGACCCCCGTTCGCAGGCAGGAACAATTTTACTCTGCAGCTCTTATGTGTCGGGGCAATGAATTTCTATGTGGACATACTTCCCCACCCCTACCCCAAGAACAGGTGCTAAATGTTTACTGCCAGTTAATGGCATTATGGAATGGTCATGGAAACTCCAGGATGTGAAACCTTGTTACAAAGAATAGGCCACTACTAAAAGTAAAGTATAACTTGTCCCTGGTCCCTTCTCACGTTCTCTCTCTTTGCTTCCTAACTGCTGTTGTATGTACCCTAAGACACACTCCAAGACAGTTGGCCTGGCCACAGGCAGAAACAAGTCACACAGTGCAGTAACCTTGGATACAGCCTCTGAAAATGTGGCCCAAAATGAGCCTTATTTCTCTGATGGGGGATGTCCTTCTGTGTGCTGTGAATATGTTTCTCTTATTGGATGATGAATAAAACTGTTTCAGCCAATGGACAGGCATGATGTAGCCAGGCAGGAAGTATAGGTACAGCTACCAGACTAGGAGAATTCTGGGAAAAGGAAGAAGAGAGGAGTTTCTAGGGAGACACCATGTAGCTGCCAAAGAAATAACATGTTGGAGTATTGCAGGTAAGCCACAGCCTTGTGGCAATACACAGTTTAATAGAAATGGGTTAATAATTAAGAAAGAGCTAGCCAGTAAGAAGCCTGAGCCATCAGCCAAACAGTTTATATAGGCCTCTATGTGTTTATTTGGATCTAAACTGCTGTGGGACCAGGCAGGGTAGACACTTTCATCTACATTTCTCTTACATTGTTTCTTTTGGACACCAACTAACATCGGAGGAGGCCCTGGCAGGGACTTGCTTTATTTTACACAACAAGGATTTCCATGGAAAACACCTAGAGTGATGAATAATGTGCACAAAAAAAGTTCATCATTTTAAATGTGCAAAAGATCTGAAGGCCCTGAGGAAGCAATGTACAGAATCCAAATCTCCAAAAGAAAACTCAATCTGCAGTTGGACAGCCACAAGGGACATTTGCTGATTCTGTTGGAACTGAATTAAATTGAATCAAAACCCAGAACATGCTGACATAGGGCATCCAGTGAGAATCGGAGATGCTAAAGGGATGTCCACCCTCAGGAAGGTGTGGACCAGTCAAAACCTCTTGTCATCCCACAAGCAGGAAAGCTGACTTGGAGTGAACAGGGATGTCGAATTTGCAAAGCTGTACCCTCAAATCTGTGACATCAGAATCATAAGAAGATAGCCATAGTGAGTGTTCCTGGGCACTGGCCAAAAAAGAAAGAAAGTTTATGGTATTGCAGACAAGTAATGTGAGCCATTTTCCCTGGGCATAAAAGAAAATCGAGGCCATACATACATACATATATAATTAAACAATCTAAGGTGCCCCCAAACTGATAATCCCTGAGAAATTATGGGGCTGAGTTTTAGGAGGTGACCAGAAGGCTGCTTTCCCCAGGGCTGTCCTGCCTAGTACAGGAGTGACGGCAGGCTGGGAAGTGATTGGATAGTGCCAGTGTTGATAGCGCCAGTGGAGGGTCCCAAACCTTAGGTCCATGGTGTGCCACAGAAGAGAAGCCTAATAAAATGCCTATGGGTAAAGGTTAGGGCCATCGATGACTAAACCCTAAGAGGCAGTGTGCATTAGAAATCATTTTAGTTGCTGACATTTAATTAAGAAGGCTTGGAGTCCATGTAAAATCTACACTGTAGATAACCACAGATTCTTGGTCTGACAAGAAAAAAGAAAAGAAGAAAGTGACGTAAGTTGTTCCAAGGGAGCGTTGGGACATCTCATTCAGTTCTGTATTTGCATTTAAATTAGACAGAATTGGGCTTAAATGAAATAGAAAAGCAAGCAGCTAATTTCCAGCACGAGCTATGACTGTAGCTACCACACTGAACAACACCCACACAGAATACTTCCCACATTGCAGCAAGTAGCAATGCACAGTGTTCAACTAGACTTGTACAAACCATCAGACAATACCTCACTGATGTGAGTCTCGGAGGGTGTGAAAGGCACAGGGGGGGGGGGCAGTCAGTATGGGGATCGTGGAGGCCAGAAGAAGATGAGAAATTCAGCCCACTTGTAGTTTTCCCCACAGTTTGAATTAGACACAAGTGACAGAACACCCACACTGGTTTACTCAACAACAAATTGGTGGACTGCCTGTTACTATGGAAACTGCCACACTGAAGCTCTAGAACTTTTCTTCCCTAACAGAATGCTGAAAACTCCATTGTCATCCTGAGGTCACAGCAGAGAGCCCTGTTGGTGTGCAAGCCTGCTGTTTGTTCCTCCGCCCTGTGCAAATGGCAGGTCTCGAAGA